AGGGGCGTGCATATCTGTATCATGTCAGCATGGGCGGCTGTACGGCGATCGCAGTCCTCGGGCTTGGTTTAACATTCTTTCAAAAAAGACATGACCGAAGTTGGTGACCATATAAAGTCCGAGCTGGGGAGCGGCCCGTGAAGTTGGGAATATCCCGGAGTTCTAAGAGACCTCAATCAAAATCCTAACAGTCAGTGTTGGCTGATGGCACTGTCTTAAGAATAAGTTGCTTGATTGACTTCACGGCAGTCTCGGCACGGCCATTAGATTGTGGATAATGTGGTGAAATCAATGCATGATAAACTCCCCAACGCTCCATGAAATCTCAAAACTTTGTGCTGGGAACTGTGGTCACCCATCAGTCCGTAGGCAGAAGGGAACACCAACTTCCCTGAAGTATCTGCAAAAGTCTCTAATAGTGTTAAGGGTAGTAGTATCACCTTTGCAGGGTACGACGACAGGCCATCTTGAGAGTCGGTCTACAATGACGAGCAAGGGTTTTCCTGCACCTGTAAAATAGTCAAAAGGGCCGTGTAGGGGTGTCGTTACACATGAGCGGTACTTGCTGCTGACTGGACTGGAACACCTGGCAAGAACCGCAGGCTTGGGCAGTGCTGGCGATGTCAATGCCAGGCCAGAAGACAATCTGCCTCACCTGTCGTTTTGTAGACTCTACACATCTGTGACTGTCATGTAGGCGGGTAAGAGTGCGACGGCGGAGAGCAGCAGGGACTATAATTCTTGCTTCATACAAGACTAGGTCACCGTCAACTGATAGGTCGTCCCATATTTTCCAGAATGGGAGCAAAGAGTTATGAATATCGTAACTGTTGGAAGGGAATCCTGAAGTCACGTGCTTCAGAAGGCAAGTGTACAAAGGGTCTGCTCTTGCTGCAACACGAATATCCTAAAGAGTCCTGTCAGCATCCTGTGGTGAGGACTTATCTGAAGAGATGACGGCATTCACTGTCACGATAGTCCTGAGGTGTGCAGCAGCATTGTCACATAAGACTTCATCCTCTGGTGTGGGGTGGCTGACTGGGGATCTAGACAGGGCATCAGGAATGCAGAGTTGCTTACCAGTGCACCACACAGCAGTGCAGAAGTAGGGTGAAATCTTTTATTTCAGATGCTGGAGCCGGGAATTCTCTACAGCATCCAAAGAATGGTGATACAGGATTGAGACAAGTGGTTGATGATCTGTCATAATGATAAAATTTTGGAGACCCAGTAGATACATCTGATACTTTGAAATGGCCTGGGCAAAAGCCAGCATCTCAAGTTCAATGGAGGAGTAGTGAGTCACGGCATCAGTGAGGAAACTGGAGCCACACTGAACTAAACACAGATGTCCACGACCATGGTCCTGTAGAATAGCCCAACCAAAGCCATAAAGACAAGAGCCATCAGTCTGAAGAATGGCAGGCAGGCCTAGGTGGAAAGGTGCAAGAAAAGGTGGACTGAGGAGGGCTGTCTTGGTATGATGGAAAGCCTCATCATGATCAGTAGTCCACACGAATGCTGTCCTAAAGCTCAATAAGGGATGGAGTGGCTGGGCTGCAGTGGCAATTTTGGGCGTAAATTCTGCTAGCTGGTTGACAAGACCCATGAATGAGCGGAGGTCTGTCAAACAGCAGGGGTTGGAAAGTCCTCGGTGGCGATGACTTTACTTGGATCAGTTGAGATGCCTTCATATGAGAGGGTGTATCCACTGAAGGTGCACCAAACCACAAACTTTTCCTTGTTGAGGGTGATCACAAACTTGCGGCACCTGCTGAGCATTTCTTGGATATGCTGAAGATGTTGGCTAAAGTTCTCATCGTATAGAAGAATGTCGTCGACTACTTTAACGTAATTCTGGACTCCTTGTAGTACCATATCACTACGAAGGTAAAGGTGTCACCAGTAGCTGCGAAGTGGGTGGGTAGGGCGTTTGACTTGGCTCTCCAGGTGACACACTGATCTCTGCCAACGATGACGAGAGGGTGACACCAGCCTGAAGGGGCATCACCTGCTAGTTTAATGATTCCTTGTGATGTCATGGAATCCAGTTTTTCCTTGACCTGGCCCTGGAATGCAAAGGGAATCTAACGGGGTGTGTGGATAGCTAATGGAATGGCATCCTCCCTGAGGTGGATCATAATGGGAATTCCCATCATGGGCTTAAGTGGAGCTGACTTCAATTCTTCCTTGGAGATATGAAGCGTGTCTCGGTGTCGTCGTCCAATAACTGTAACATCTGCACCTCTGTCTGGTAGCATGTGGATGCTGGATGTAGTTCAACCATGAGATAGCTTGACACAGATACTCACTGCGCCATATGTGGTGTCGAAATTCCCGGTATTGACGAGGATACATGAAGGAAACGACCGTGGTAATTTTTTGGGTTCTTTTCTCCGAAGTACATATTAGGGGGAGATCAACAGGCGAAAATGTAGCTTAACTGTTGCCACATGTAGAAATGATATGCAGGAGGATATGTAATACATTTGATAACATACATGGTTATTCGTATATTCACGCATGTTACTGTAGTTCTCACATATCTACAATACTTATTTTGAAAACTCTGGAAAAAAAAAACTTTGCAAACGCTCGATGTCCCCTTTAGGTTCAGTGACGACATAGAGCTAATGACAGGAGGACGACCCGGCCCCTTCTGGTTGCTGTGCTGGAAGTACATCTCACCCACGGTCATGCTCACGATCCTTACCTCCTCCATCATAAAGCAGGTGAGAGGACGCGGGTAGAGGGCGTCGACAGGTGGGGTGAAATATGCAGTCTTCGTTGTTGTCGTTACACACATGAGGATAGTTATAATAGTACTGTTAATAGTTATAGTAATGGTAACAATGATGATAGGATAATGATAATAATGATTGCAGTAGTGATATTTGCAACAATGTTAATATTCATGATAATGACAATTTTATAATATGAGATGAGATGATAATGATATGATACAGATAATGATAATATTAATAATAACAATAATAATAATAATAATAATAATAATAATAATGATAATAATGATAGTAATAATAATAACAATAATGATGATGCTAATAAGAACAGTAATAACAATTAATAATAATAATATTAATCAGTAATAATAACACAGATGATAATGATGATGATGATGATAATGTTGATGATTATTACTTAAATAATAATAGCAACAACAGCAATAATATCAATAACTATAATATCACTGATGACAACAACATTAATACTAATAATAACGAAGCAATGCCATCCAACTCAGCAGCCGCCCCATCAGCGCCCCTTATCTCCCGCTCTGTCCTGCCGCAGGTGGTGAACGGCTCAAAGTACATGGCCTGGGACGCGACGGAGGGCGAGGTCACCTTCCAGTCGTGGCCGGCGTGGGCGTGGGGGCTCGTGGCCGTCCTCGTCCTCGTGTCTGCCCTCTGGATACCCGGAATCGCCCTCACAAGGTCAGGATGGGAAGGGAAGGAGAGAGGGAGGGAGAGGGAGAGAGAGAGAGAGAGAGAGAGAGAGAGAGAGAGAGAGAGAGAGAGAGAGAGAGAGAGAGAGAGAGAGAGAGAGAGAGAGAGAGAGAGAGGATAGTCTAGTGCTTTTCGTATTTTGCTCGTGGGTATGCTGCTTGAGATAGCTGAATACTAGATTACTTTTGGTTAGCAAAATCTTCTTAGTATAACACACACACACACACGCACACACACACACACACACACACACACACACACACACACATATATATATATATATGCATGCATACACATACATACATACATACATACATACACACACACACATATATATATATGTGTATGTGTGTGTTATTTTATACTCATTCTAAGTGTTATATGCAAGAAGTACTACTTCGCTGTTTTTTTCTTTTTATATCTTTTTTTGCGAACTTCAAATTATGTATTATGGACTTTACCACCATTACCATCCATGTCCATCCGTTTTTGCTTCCACGTTTGCAAGCACACTCCCGAAAATCGTAAATCTATGTAATATGGGAGTGGTTTCTTCCTCATGAATCGCAGTAAATACAGGTAAGAAGATATTAAACCACTACGAAGAAAAATAAGACTTTAATACAAATTTTAATACAGAATTTTATTACAGGTACTTTATGATTACGTTACATATGGAGATCAAGTATCTATAAACTAAAAGTATGTCACTGATTACTGCTAGCGATACTTTTGATATTGAACTGTGTTGAACGGTGTATTACCCATCGGGTGGCCTGTATGTTCGTCTTCGTAACTTTTAAAAATAATTTGGCATTCATATCCATGTCGTCAGTAGCCCACCTACTCAAAGAATCCAATCTTCACTTGACATTTATTCTCTATCTTCATTCGCCATACCATTCACCGTTCAGAATTCTGCAGAGTACCTTTCTTGTACCATCGGTGCCTCACTGTACATGCTTCCATTTTACTTCTGCTGAAATCTCTTAAGGCTTTTCTCTTTAAGAAGAGACTTAAGCAATGGAAACAGATTGTCTTGTAATTATGATTCATCAAAGGGTAATCATACTTGTTTACATACTTCAACAACAAAGCGTCTATTTACGTGAAGGGAGGAACCTTAGTAACAAGTTTAAAATGTTGCAGGTTGTGCGGCCTCCACGTAATTCAGGACGAAGAGCCTGCCTGGTTCCCAGCGGAGGAACTGAGAGAATATCACACCGTCGTTCCTCACAAGGTTAGTTTATTACGAGCTTCAAAGTGCTGAAGGGACTCTGATTGCTACACTCATTCTGAGGGGATGAATCAAGAATTTCGAAGCGTTTCACTTCACAGACTTTAAAGTAAAGTGAGACAAGGTGTTTGATTATTTTTATTCATAAATGTTTATACAGCCAACCATTCATCTATTCCTTTACTCATTTATTTTTTCAGGTCACAAACATCGAAAGGAAACTCTTCTGCATGCGAGAAGACGGGCTCGAAGGCCTCTGTTGTCCAGTAGGAGCTCCGCCCAAAGAAGACGTTTAAAGAAAACGGAATCATTGCGAGGACAAACTACACAAGACTGCCACACCTGGAGGGCAGCGGACAAGAATATAATGGCCTAGGTAAAGTTTTCAATGGGGATTCATCATAAACTGGTAGAGCATGGTTGATCGTAGACTCAGAGGTGTTAACAAGAATGGTTATTGTTCAGTAATACGCCTCTTCCGACCCATTACAGCGACGTCTTTGCATAATATCTGGTCGAGGCTTTATGCTTTGTACATTATTTTCGGCTTACAAAGTTAACATTTCCTGTTGTTTTATATTTTGCTGTTTGGTAATTACAGAAACTGAGGTTCCTCTGGCATCCCTTTAAGATGGATTTCTAAAATAGTTGTTGATTTATCTCTATAGTCATCCCAAGTAAAAACGAAAAACAACCAACGTTCTTTACAACTTTCTGTTTACAGTAATGGTAATAATAACAATAAAATCTGGTACGATTGGAATTTATGGACCTCATCCAAACAATGAATCTGTAAGTGATTAATAAGTCTTGATGAATTTTTGTACTATTAGACAATACACTACAGTATTATTACAAGTTCACTGATTTGTATACAGGCTAAAAATCAGAACTTCTTAACTTTTCTCATCGAAGGCTAAGCAACTCTTGACCACTTTTCCCCTTTCTTGAAAAAAATGTACATATGTTTTCTGTCACTTTTTGGTGACTTGCGGATCGTATATATATTACCCTTCTCCTTCTATCTCTCTCTTTTTCCCTTTCTCTTACTTTCTTTTTTCCTCTCTCATTTCACCCCATCCTCCCCCCTTTTCCGCAAATTCTTTCTTTCTTTTTGCTTTCCTCTTTACTTTATATTCTCACTGTATCACTCTCTCTCTCTCTCTCTCACTCTGTCGGTCTGTCTGTCTCTCTCTCTCCCTCCTCTCATTTTCTCCTTTTTCTTCCCTGTCTGTCCCCTATCCTCCATCCCTCTACCCCTCCTCCCACCCACCATTCCCCTCCCCCCATTTTCCTTCCATCCTCCTACCCCCGTTTCGAAGTCATCAGTTGCCGTTGACACCGGAAGAGCTCGCGGAGGGTCAGCGCCGAGAGAAGAACAGTCAAGGAGTTCATTCACCTTCCAATCGCTTGCTCAAACTGTCGAAGGATTTCCAGGTTTACCAGCTTTCTCTTCTGGACTTTCTTTTCCAACACCAGCGCCGTCAGGGGGTTGTAAAAATAGGCTCGCCCGGTAAATATATATATATAAATATATATAAATATATATATAAAATATCCCTAAGTTTAAAAGTGCCTCTTATTGCTTGTTTGATTGTTATCGATGACAGTTAATTACAGTTGGTTGCCAAAATATGTTGACAAACTGTTTGTTATACACTTTAAAGAAATTTCTCTGAATGTTTCATAAATGTTTACCGATGAACGTAGAGCGATGTATAGTCATAGAAAGAAGTAAACTGTATACTGTATATGTATATATTGTACGTATACATGAATGGTGGGTGTCGTAGAAGTAGACTTATGCTGTGAAGTTGTTAATATTTTAATTCATGCTGAACATTACGCTGGGAAGTTCATCGAGAAAAGATGATCAAAATCACTTTATTACTGTATTTTACTGATGTATGTTATTATTATTATTATCATTATTATTATTATTATCATTTTGTAATGTTACTCTCTTTTCACAAGATAAAAAGACATATCTTGATGGAAGGATGTAAACATATCTTCACCTATTCACAGATAAGTAATTCTTTCTATACAACAAAGGCTTGAGAGCGTATTGGCACTCTTCTTAAAGTCTTGTCCAAGTATTTACGAATATGAAGACACCTAAGTTCCATTTATCCATTTCACCTTTTGACCTGCTTTGACTTCCAATAATTTCCCCTTCTTTCAGGCAGTTCTCTCTGTCGTCTACACTTCCTTCTTTACGGTAGTCCTCTCTTTGGTATGATCTAGTATTCCTGATTCACTGCAGCCCTCTCTTTGGCGTTCCCTCTTCACTGCACTCTATACTTCTAATGCAAAGGAGGATTGAGGTCCCTCTTGAAGCACTGTGGTAAAAGCAAGTATGACAACTTTATTTCTTTTGTCTAGTGTCCTTTTTTCTTTGCCCTGTGAAGCAGCCCAGCGTGATGGCTCAGTGAGTAGATACGCAATAATATAACGTCTAAGTCATCACTGTCCTTATGCAATTATTTGTGATTTATTTTACGGCTGAGACCAAGCCATTGCGAAGCCCCGTGTATCTCTCGCGAACTTCCTCGAAAGATTCTTGAGTAAACACAAGATGGCCAATTATGATAAATCCACCCCATCAAGGAAGGGAAATTCTCCCTTTTGTTTTCTATAAGGGAAACGTGCCATTCCTGTCTGTGACCTTCACATGACTGACTACCAAATCCGCGATCGTTGCTGCACTGCAACTTCCCGCATTGCGTTGCCGGTGTCACTGGGCTCAGCAGGAGAAGCAACATCTTTCAAGGAACCTCGCTTGTATGCGTGATACTTAGAGCGTGTAAACACTCCTTTCAACGGGGCGAAGCAATATTTTGGTTTCGTTTTGTTAGGAAGAGGAAATAGACAAGACGTGTGGCGTTAAAAAAAGTTTTAGCTATAAAGAGGCTGGCGTAGGAAAGGTGCAAGGTCATGACAAGGTTTTTTTTTATAGGGTAAAAGAAGTACTTTAGTACCTTTGCGGTTATGGTCGGACCAAGCTTTCAAGTATCTGAACGAAGCTACAAAATTTAAACAAAAAACCTGTGATAACTTCTTTCTTGGAGCCGAAGTTTTTTCTATTAATTATTTTTTATATATATACGAAATCAAGTTCTTCCAATACACTCCTAACTGAAGAGTGATCATGTGGCAGGTGCAACTTTTTAATAGCTTCAAGAATTATAAGAATTTGAACTAAATGAGAATCTATATTTTTCTCCTAATGGCCATGGAATGTGAACTTATGAGATAATCCAGTTCAACATGTAATTTGATACCAATAAAAAACTGAAATGCCTCTCACTTCAAGCTCTGATCTCCTCTCGTTGCTTTACACTGTGTATTGTATAGAGGTCTTTTATAAGGACACAACTAAGGTTTTCAATGTACATAGAAAATATTTTCACGAACAGCAACTGTAAAATTTAACACTGATATATTTTAAAATTGATATCGTTTGCCCAATCAGTGACAATGGTCTCCAATGTTCACAATACCGTAATGATAACTAATTATATATATATATATATTACCATAAGGATACTCATAGAAAAAACAGATCCATATCTTTCCTCTCTTTCTTTGTGAGGAAGAACTCCAATTCTGTGATTAAAATCGAAGAAATTAGTTATGAATTACAGGAAGTTTGTCTGTTGTTGTACAAAACTGTATATTCATTCCTTACCGAAGCTTCATTAGGTGAAAGTAATAATAAAACCAATCACGTTTAAGTCCTTTATTTCAATGCTGAGTTTTCCTCCCGGAGCGGTGAACAGCAGTAAAGAGTTATTATTTTTCTATTGTTTTTATTACCATATTTTCATATGTACTTCATATGACCTTTATTGTTGAGTTTTCTTCCTGGAGCAGCAGACATCAGTAAAGATTACAGTATTAGTATATATATTTTTTATCATGAAATTTCCACCTATATTAGCAAAAGTTCTTATTGTTATTAGTATTGTTTCATTTCATCATTATTAGATTTTCGTATTCAGTCATCAGAAATCCTTCCCTGTTCTAATGTTAGGTTTTCTTCAATAAATATTACCATTGATATAATTATTACTTATTATTTTTGGTACTATCATATTTTCATGATTTTTGAATGTCATAATTTCGTATACATTCGACTTTTATGGGTAACTGATATTATTGTTGTTGTTACCTTTACAATTAATTTTACTGTCATTTTTATAGGCAATACTATTGTCATTATAGACTTTATTATGGTATTTTATTGTCATTGGTTGAGCCAGCATTCTAGGTATTCTTTTTTACTGTCATCATCACCGTTATTATTATTATTCATTACCAATATAACACTTCATAGTGAATATCATTAATCGTATCATTTTCATTATCATTATCTCCAAAACTTTATAACAAAATTGTTATTATTGTCATTATTATCATACCGTGACCATCATTACCACTACTATTTTCTCATTATGACCGTTACTATCGTCATAACCAAAATCCTTATAACGCCAGTATCATATGCAGTTATTACCAAAAACATAATATAAAAATAAAAAAACAGCTAAATTACTTATTAGCTGTACATATTTCATCATTGCTAATAATATATCATTGAAATTTCCCATTTTCATTTTTCGTCACGATGCAACATACTTATCTGCATTAAAAACAAACACACCGAAGTATCATTAGACTATACTAAGGAGATGAAATATGAACAAATAAATGCAGTGGATGAACTACCTAAAAGTTCTTTGGGTGTTATTGGTATTTTTAAATGCTAAGTGAAAAGTAATTTTGATGATGCTAATAATGACAGTAATAATCATTATAATAAAGATAATAGTAAGGATGTGGCAATTAAAATGATGATGATGATAAAATAATTGTGGTGATGAGGACGTTGATGATTATAATAGCAATAATGATGACCATGATAATGATAATAGTAATTATTATGATAATGATACTCATAATAATTCAAATAATTCTTATAATGATGTTGATAATGATGATGATAATAATAATAATAATAATAATGATAATGATAATGATAACAGTAATAATAACAGTATGATAATACCAATAATAACAACGATAATGAGGATAATAATGATAATAATAATAATAATAATAATAATAATATCAATAGCAATAAAAAATATAGTAAATAAAGTTTAGAGGAAAAAATCGATATCACTTCATGAAGAAAAGAACAAATAGATAAATGAAAAAATGAATAGATAAATGAACAAAAACTTCATACATATACACATATATATGATATACATGCATGTATATACATATA